GGTATTGGATGTTGTGCAGCTGGAAGGATTTTTACTGAAATTTTTTTAGTTTTGGACATTTGTTATGATGCGTAACCATGGCAACAAGGCAGTTTTCTACAACCAACTGCAGCTGAATAACATCTCAAAAGCTCAAATAATATCTCAGCTACAGCCCCAAATCTCAAATGAGTTGAAAAGGATGTTCTGTGGATGCATTCTCATCTACCTGCCAGCTGTGCTCGAGTGCCTGACCACTGAGATCCTGGAACTAGCAGGAAACACGGCTAGTGACAGTGGAAGGAAAGGATCGTCCTTCGGCACCTACAGTTGGCTGTCCACAGTGACGAGGAGCTCAGCAGACTGCTGGGAGGCGTGGCCATCACTTTGGGAGGAGTTCTGCCCGGCATTTGGGCGGTCCTACAGCCCAGGGGAACCAAGAGGCCAGCCAAGTCTGGGTGGACAGATCGGACGGCATCTGCAGCCAATTTCTTAGGATCCACTGTGGGATGGACCTTTACAAGAGATCCTTCCTGCCTACAGCCATAAGTATCTATAACATCTCTTAATGAAATGAGGATAACGAGTTACAAAAACAAATAATTTCCCTTTGGGATTAATAAAGTATTTTTGAATTGAATTAAATTGTCTTAAACAACAGCCTGAACATGAAACTGTTGTGAGATGGGTATGAACATAGCAGCTTAAAGGCAAGAAATCAGCAGCATGGATAGCTTCAGGGTAGAAGTTGTTCCTCAGTCTAGTTGTTCTACACTTAATTCTCTGCAAGCTCCTGCATGAGGGAAGCAGAGCTAAAAGTGTGTGTGCTGGGTGAGTGGGATCCTTCATGATGCAGTTGGCCCTCTTCCTGCATCTGGAGGTGTAGATGTCTGTGATGGTGGGGATGCTGACTCCAACAGTCTTCTGTGCAGCCTTCACCACTCTCTGCAAAGCTTTTCTTTCTGCAGCTGTGCATCCACCGTGCCACATGTTGATGCTGGAGCTCTCCACTGCACACCTATAGAAGGAGGTGAGGACTGAGCTTCCCAGTCCAGCTCACCTCAGCCACCTGAGGAAGTAGAGTCGCTGATGTACTTTCTTGATCAGGCTGGTGGTGATGTTGCTCCAGCTGAGGTTGACATTTAAGTGTACACCCAAGTACTTGTAGCTGGAAACCACTTCCACTGCAGATCCTCCCATGTTTGGGGGTGGGGGTTGCTCCTTCTGAAATCCACAATCTTCTCCTTCGTCTTCTTCACATTGATATAGAGGTTGTTCTTCCTCAGTTTTCCAGGTGTTCCCTCTGGGATTAATAAAGTATTTTTGAATTAGAATTTGAAGTTCCACCTCCTGTCTGTAGTTGGACTCATCGTTGTTTGCGATGCATACAACCAACGCTGTATTGTCTGCAAAACTTTTTAGTATGGCAGCTTGGATTGTAGGTGCACAGTCATATGTAAGCAGAGTAAACAGGAAGGAGCTCAACACTCATCCCTGAGGGGAACCAGTGTTGAGGGTTATGGTGGATGAGGAGAATTTGTGGATCCTCACATACTGCAGCCAGTTGGTTAAGAAATCCAGGACCCAGTTGCAAATGGAGGGGTTTAGTCCTAGTGTGAATATTTTGCCCATCAGGGTCTGGGAAATCATGGCGTTGAAAGAGGATGTGAAGTACACAAAGAGCATACGGGTGTAGGAGTCCTGCTCCAGGTGGGCGAGAGCAGTGTGGACCACAGAGGAGATGTCATCCTTTGATGGTCGGTTCTTGTGATATGCATACTGGTGTGGGCCCTTTGCTAATGTTGATGGTAGCTTTGATGTGGGCCATGACCAGTTTTTCAAAGCATTTAATGACTATCAGGGTGAGGGCTACTGGCGGGTAGTCATTCAGACTGGTCACTGCAGAGCTCTTAGGAACTGGGATGATAATGGCAGTCTTCAAGCAGGTGGGAACTGTCTCCAGCGTAAGTGAGGAGTTAAAGATGTTCGCCAGCACCTCGCAGAGCTGATCGGCACATTCTCTCAGCACCTTCCCCAGGATGTTGTCTGGGCCAGTAGCTTTGTGAGGATTAATTCTCCTGAATATCCTCCTTACTTCTGCTGAGGTCACGCTGAGAAACTCCTCTTTTAATGGTGAGGTGAGTCTGGTGCTGGGTGATCTATTTGGGTCTTCAAAGAAGGCATAGAACCTGTTAAGAGCATCAGGCAGTGATGGTTCCCTAGGGCAATGTGCACCTCTGCTTTAGTCTGTGATGCACTTAATGTCCTTCTACATGCTCCTTGGGTCCTGTGATACCCAAGGTCGACCTTGACCCCTCTCAAGGATTTTAAGCAAATGCTAATTTAATTTACACCACTTTATAATGTAGCTGTTTTTGTTTCTTTTTTTTCTTTTTTGTTTCGTTTATTTAATTTCTTCTATCTACTTTTCATTTTATGCGTTTTTTATATGACTGTCTATTATTGTTTGTATCTCTTTTGTTCTATGTTTAAAACAGGTCTCTTTTGTAAATGAGTCCTCGTGGCTCAATGAGACTAACGTATATAAATAAAGGTTGAATGAATGTGAGGAGAGATGTTGCTGGACCAGGGGTTAATTTGTAACCCAACTGATGCCGCGACATAAATAGCAGACGGTCCGGCGGGGTGGGGGGTTGTCGTCCATGGGGTCTGTGGTTTCTCCCCCAGAAAATATGGAATAAAAGAGATGCCATTTCCTGCATTTTGGTGTATTTTAACAGGTTGTTAAACATCTGTAAACATTTGATTGAATAGATTAAAAACAGGTCTCTCTTGTAAATGAATCCTCGAGGCTCAAAGAGACTAAGAACCTGTATAAATAAAGGTTGAATTGAAATTACTATTTTAGAGAACAATGAAAAGAGCAGCTCCAATTCTGTCAAGCATCAATACACCCCCCCCCCCCCCCCCCCCCCCCCCACACACACACACTCTGTCCGACCTGATCTCTTCTCAGCTGAATTCAGCCCTGCACGTTGTTCTGCTCCAATCTGGATTACCACCACCTTCAGTTTCTTCTCAGTTGTCTAGCTAAGGACAATCCATCCATCCATTAATTTTATGAAAGTAAATTGTCTTTTCGACATTTTATTGCTGTTATTTTGACAAATTAGTGCAGTTGTTTTGAAATGCGATGTAATGTGAATAATACTCATCAAACATTTCACTCATATTTTTTTTATGGTAAGATTTTTTTTATTTATTATCTTTGAAATGTATGCAGGAGTTCAGACACATCACCAGTTATGGGCACTCTGCAGAGCTGTCTGGAGATGCTCCTGTGTGTAAAACATGCACTGTCTCAGGGTGCACAACTGAAGGTGGATGAAGACGCTCATCCCCACGGGACATGTAGTCTGCAACTCTGCTGGGCATGAGCATGTACACAAGCTGGTGTGTTTAGTGTGGCTGGATAATCTTCTCCACAGAACGTCTCTTCTCATTGTATTTTTAATAAATATTCAAAACAAAAATGTGCAATGACTTTGGACTTTTATAGGCGGAGATTTGAGTTGCTGGATCTGAGCGGTCAAAATGAGAGAGTTCCCGGATCTTGTTCCGCTGGATCCGGCTCAAATTAACCGCTGTCCTGGATCTTCCGTGCATATGTGGCATTGGCCCTCTTAACACCACCAGCCAGCTCTCTTTTCACCCTCCCCAGTTCCTGTGAATAGCCAGACCTGAAGACAGCATCTATGGCTTTTAGCAGGGTACGGACCTTTGCGTTCAGCCAGGGTTTCTGGTTCGGGTAGCACATCACTGTCTTGGTGGTGGTGACATCTTCAACACACTTGCTGATGTATCTGAGGACAGCAGATACGTATTCCTCCAGATCCAGTTCTCTCTCATTTACAGCAGCCTTCCTGAAGACCTACCAGTCTGTGTGTGCAAAAGAGTCTTACAGTAGTTACTGTCGCTGGGCCACACAATGATGATCTTCTGTGTGGGTCTGGAATGTCTCAGCAGGGTGTAGTAGACGGGGCCAGAAAGATGGAGATGTGGTCAGAGAGGCCAAGGTGGGGGTGTGGTACAGCTTTCTATGCGTTTTGTATGTTGGTGTAAACATGGTTAAGTGTGTTTTTTTAATTTTATTTACAGATCTTATTGTTCCATATTTTTCTAACAGAGCACTTCACTCTCAGACTGCAGGCTTACTTGTGGTTCCTAGAGTTTCCAAAAACAGAATGGGAGGAAGATCTTTCAGTTATCAGGCTCCTCTCTTGTGGGACCAACTTCAAGTTTCTGTCCCTGAGACTGACACATTGTCCAGTTTTAAGACTGGGCTTTTCTTTTTGATAAATCTTACAATTGGGCTCAGCTGGGGTTTCCTGAACTATCCCTTAGTTATGCTGCTATAGGTTTACACTGCTGGAGGATAAAGTGACCAAATGTCCTTAATTTGAAGCTGTCTTCAGTCTATCCATTATTTTTGTGTATTTTCAATGAGTTCTGACATTAACCTGTGTTCTTTGTCTTGCTTCCGTTAGAAACTACACTTGACCCAACACTTCTGTGTTTGTCTCTGTCTCTTTCCTGTCCTGTGATGGACAGCCATCCACCCAGGTTCTGCTGGAGGTTTCTTCATGATAAAAGGGAGCCGTTCCTTTCGTCTGACACCTCCATGCTGCTCAGGATTCAAACACAGTGTCAATTTGACTCAATCTGCTGGTTTCCCGTGAACAACTTTTTACTGCTTGGCCTGTAAAGTGTACTGAATAGGATTGTATTGTCTTTTAGTTGGACTGAATTGACGGTTTGTGCTTTGATTTGGCTCTACATCTGTTTTAAACTGAATTAGAATTACATCATTTGATATAACTGGACTTGTTGCTTTTATGTCTCACATCCAGAGATGACTTTTGTTGTGAACTACTGTACATAAACTGAACTAGAGTTTATACTATTTCATTACCCTGAATCTTTATTCTCTGATTACTGTTGTTTTGTGAAGATGAAAAAATTAGACCAGAAACATTTGATCACAAGATTTTTATTGCGTGTCGACTCTGGCTGTTTAAACCTGACATGGGAGCACAGATTGGATGTCATTCTCGGCCACATTTCCTTGTCCACAGAAGGTAATGCTGTGAAAAAGACAGAAAGAGAAATATAAATAAATCAACATAAAAATATGATTGAGCCAGGCCTTACTAAAGGGAGTTTAAGGGATTTTTAGATTTATGTCTTCTATTTATTTTGTAGAAATGGTTTTGAACACGGGCAGCACGGTGGCGCAACTGGTAGAGCTGCTGCCTCTCAGCGAGCAGGTCCTTGGTTCAAACCCCGGTCCAGAGGCCTTTCTGGGTGGAGTTTGCATGTTCTCTCTGTGCATGCGTGGGTTTTCTCCAGGTGCTCCGGTTTCCTCCCACAGACCAAAAACATGCATGTTAGGCTGATTGATAACTCTAAATTGTCCCTAGGTGTGAGTGAGAGAGTGAATGGTTGTTTGTCTCGTTTGTCTCTATGTGGCCCTGTGATGGACTTGCGACCCGTCCAGGGTGTACCACGCCCCTCGCACAGTGATTGCTGGACATGGGCACCGGCGACCCCCGTGACCCAAAATGGAATAAGCGGGTAAAGATAATGGATGGATGGATGGTTTTGAACACAAAGAGAATCTGTTATATTTTGGTTGTTCGTGTAATGATGAGGATGACAACCAGACATTAATTAAAATTTAAGACTAAGCATCAAAATTTTTCTCACAAAGATGGTCACTGTTGATAAATTAATAATAATAATTTGGAGTGTTTAACATCTGTAATTATTATTTTCTTTTTTCATTTATACAGGTAGTCTCATTGAGCCACGAGAACTCATTTTCAAGAGCGACCTGTTTAGGGAGCAGATGGTGGGGTTTAAGGGCCTTGCTCAGGGGCCGAAAGTGGGGCAAATGAGGGTGGAGGCAGGTGTTCCACCTTTTCCACCCACATTTTGATGTTGACGGGAGTCGAACCTGCGACTTTCCGATCACAGGCCCATCTTCTAACCTCTGAGACACCACTCTCCATTAACTTTTATATAGTATGTATATATATATATATATATATATATATATATATGTGCGTGTGTGTGTGTGTGTGTGTGTGTGTGTGTATGTATAGGTGGGTGTGGGTGTTTATTTGTTTTTGATTATACTGTTTTACAGCTCTGAGAGGCAAAACCAAATTTCGTTGTATTTAGGTGCAATGACAATAAAGGTCTATTCTATTCTACTGGTGGAAAGGAGTTGATAAAATATCCAAGTCAGAGATCCACCATCACTGCCAACCCCTACCATGCTGCCCTCCAGTGTTCAAACCTCAGCCATGTCCTGCTGCACAGAAACTGGACTTGTGGCAAATGTTTTTTTTTCCACTTCTCACGATGGTTTTTATTTTCCTCCTTCTCTGTGGTAATTTTGCAGATCTGAGGCCTTCATTACAGAACTTAAACATCTCAAACTCAAACAAGATTCATCACTTTCATCAAATGATTCAAAATACAACTTTTAATTTCATTTTCACACTTCTACTCTTAAATGTCTGTTTGTCTGTAATTCAAAATCACTGTCAACACTTGCGACCCCAGAGAGGAGAGCAGCTAAAAGAAACTTAATTTATATAATAGCTGTGAAGTGTACAGGCTACATAGAACAACTTGTTCCCCACTCAATAATTTATTATAAAACCACTTTGGTGAATATTTGCTACATCATTTGGATAATGAAGACACATCTGATAAGCAGACTGTATGTTTTACCACTCATAGTTCAACTTCCAGCTCCAGCTATCCACAAGTTACATTTTGTTGCAAATCTTGCTTGTAAATGGGATTAACCTGTATAAATAAAGGTTGAATGAATGTTTGCAATCCCAGTAAAGTTGAAGCCACTCTTTCCGTCAGCCCATGTGTACAATCCTTCTCTTTCACGTCACTCATTGGTCGAGCATTATTGGCATTTATGTCATGGAGAGTCATCCTTATGTGTCCATATATTCCTTGTGCTCCCCAGTGATTTTATCTTCAAGTATTTTTGAAGATATGAGCTGCCTTATCTGCATTTTGTTTGTTTAAATACAATTTTATCTATTTTTTAAACTCCTCAAGCCAGGACACATTTTTGGATTCTACTTACCTGAAAGCATGACAACTACATCGTAAATGTCTGACATGAATTTCTTATTCTCTAAATTATCCTTAGGTGTGAGTGAGAGAGTGAATGGTTGTTTGTCTTGTTTGTCTCTATGATGGACTGGAGACCTGTCCAGGTTGTCCTCCGCCTCTCGCACTGTGATGGCTGGACATAGGCACCAGTGACCCCCGTGACCCGGAAAGGAAAAAGCAGATAAAAAATGATAGATGGATGGACGATGGATGGATGGATTAATTACAATGTTTATTTTAAATAGCAAGAACATGTGGATACAAGTAGCTGAGGGATATTAATAGGGGAAATAATGTAATTTATCTGAGGAAGAAAAACATGTAATAAATAAAAAAATATATTAAAGCATTTCTGCCAGGAGTTGACTCAACTCAGGGAGGGGAGCATTCCAAGACTCCATGATACTTGTAGCAGAGGACTTCAAGTATCTGGGCTGGGTCTTGTTGACAGTGAATGTAGGATAATGCAGGAGATGGATCAAGGACTCATCATCAGTACTGAAGGTACTGTTTTAGTCTGTTGTAGTGAAGAAAAGGTTGAGCCAAAAGGCAAAGTTCTTGATTTTCTGGTCCATCTACATTCCAGTCATCTCCAGTTCTCATGAGGTATCGATCATAACCAAAAGAACAAGATTCCAGATACAAGTGCCTGAAATGAGTTCCCTTCATTGGATAGTAGGTCACAGCCCTAGAGATAGCTGTACGGTGATAAGGTGAGGAGCTCCGTCATCCAGAGTGTGCTATGTTTAACATTTGATCAGGGCATCTCCCCTCATAGATTTTATGAGCATGCCCCACTTGGAGACCCCAGACAAAACCCAGAACTCACTGGATGGATTATATACATCCTCTCTGACCTGCAAATATCTTGGGATTCTCCAGGAAGAGCTGTAGAGCTGAGGGGAGATATTCTCGACTGAATCTGTTGCCAATGAAACCCTATTGTGGATAAGTGGTAAAAGATGTATAGATGGAGGAAGGACAAACAGACAGATGGATACATCTTACAGATATGCTGACACTCAAAAATAGACAAACTTACATCTGCTTGTCTTTTCCTCTCTGCAGCTCTATCTTGGATGCACCGTATCTGGGTTTCAGTGGATTGACGATGTGGTTGTTCCATCGAAACTTTACCTCCTTCACCTCACCCACATCCACCTCAGCATCTATCAGCAGATCATACACTTTTCCAGAAATCAGGGTACCCCTACAGGAAATGCAAGGACAGAATAACATTACTTTAATTGTGTTTGTCCTGGTTCTCTCCAAAAGCAATAGGTGATAATGTGTTGTCTCTGTATGAGTCCATTTGTTGATAGTCTTGGCAGAAACTTGAAGTTTTCATGAAACCATTAACAAATTAAAACATGTTTTCAAGATTTTGTTTTAAACAAAATCAAAAATGAAGGCTGTCACAAGATGGTCTTTTATCACTTTGCCACACTTGGAGGACAAAGATGGCTTGGGTTCAATTCAAGACTTAAAAGCAGCAGGAAATGTAATCTTTTGAGGTCTGAGCACATTCACTGGTCCACTCTGGGACATAAAGGACAATCTACTGGCAGATAGTCAACGTAGTGTCCATAATTTATTATGATACAAAATAATAACAAGTAATAATTTCCTTATACTATGCAATATTTTTTCAGAAATACCATGAACCCTTGCTAAGCTGGGATGTAGACCCACAGTGAGCCGTTTTGGTGCCCAACATAATTATGTGAAGGTGAGAGAGTTGTGAGCTGTGTGAGAATTATACATTTCTGAAAATCACATCTACTGCATAGAAACTGCTGAAAGCCTAAAGAAACAGAGACAATTAAATTAATTGTTATTCTTTATATACCTAGTTCAGTGCATACTTTTCCATACAAGCACCAGTATGTTTTCTTGTATTTGTTTTTATAATAAGACTCTTTCCATGAAGTACTTTGAATGGTTTGCATGCATCACATCAAATCATCCTTCCTACCTAAACTCCTTCTATTTTGAATTGCTCCTCAGAAATGTAAAATGACAATAAACAGAAGTTATTCAGTCGGGGAGTGGTGGCGCAGAGTTTAGAGAGGTGGGCTTGTGATCCGAAGATCGCTGGTTCACGCCCCGGCCCCGACAACATCAAAATTGTGGGTGGGGTAGGTGAAACACCCACACTTGCCCCCACCCTCATTCGCCCCACTCTGGGCCCATGAGCAAGGCCCTTAACCCCCACCATGTGCTCCCTAAACAGGTCTCTCTTGAAAATGAGTTCTCGTGGCTCAATGAGACTAACCTGTATAAATAAAGGCTAAATGAAAAAATTCAGATTTATTTCAGGGTTTATTAAACACTCTTGAACTGATATAATTAATATTATTTATTTATAAATATTTTCAGTTTTTTTTTTTTTACCTAGACAGACAGAAGATAGTTAAAATACGTCTACATTTTGGTCTAATAGACCACTGATAACATACTTTTAACCTTCTGAATAACCGTGATGAGGCAGCATTCAACTGGTTGCACCTTGCAGCATAAAACACTAGATGTCCCTGTACCCCACACACTAAACTGTGTTTCATGTGAACTCAGAAGCAATACTTTATTGCTTAAAGTTGAAAAGTTAACAACTCGAACTTATTTGTGTTTTTTGTTTTTTTTCAGTTCAGGCTGAAGGTTAAATGCAAATCTTAATGAAAATGTGACCTAATTATCAACCGTCATTGTTTTTGCTGCATCTACAGAAAACAAAATCACCAAAAATAACGCAATTGAATAAAAAAGTATGTTTGCACCAACAATATAATTTACAGGTGGTTGTAGGAGCTATTAGCTAAAACTTGGCATGCAGTAGGTGATCTGCTTAAAGATAAAGCATCTCTGAGGTTCAAAGTTTTGATGCACAATTCTGTTTTAAGAATGTGAAAAGGCTCTGAATATTCTGTTTGCCCTGTTTCACCCTTTGTGGAAAACTTCCATACCAGTACAGAATAAAGTGATTCTTCCTGAAGCCATTTTCCAGTCAGTCAGAGGTTTCATTTTTCTTCCAACTTCTCCGAGAAGTACTGCTTAGTCTTTTCAGTCAAGAATACTGTGGAAAAGTGGATTTAAGTCAGTGGTTGACTGTTCAGATATGTAATTGGCTGTGGGGCGGCTGTGACTGAGTGGTTAGAGCAGTCGTCCTCAATGCAAGGGTTGGAGGTTCGATTCCATCAGCAGTCACATGCTGAAGTGTTTCTGGGCAAGACACTGAACCCCTCACTGACTCTGATGTGTGTCCCATCGGTGTCTGAATGTGATAAAGTACTGAATATTCTTCGTATAGATCTAGTAGAGTGCTGTATGATTGGGTAAAAGAGGCACAGATTGTGTTGTAAAGATCTTTGAGTGTCTTGATAAGATAGAAAGGAGCTACTGTATACAGCCCCTTTACCATTTAATCCAGAATTTAGTCTGGTAATCCCAAAGGCTCTCAAGTCAACATAAAGGACACATTGACAAATAAGTCGACCTCACTGCAACTTCACCCCGTTAGTGAGGTTATATATTGTAAAGCTAAAAAGGGTCTTTCTCAAAAACCAGGTTCTTACCCGTGCAGCTGAAACTCTTTGGTGGTGTATTTTTTCCCAGCTAGAGCCACGAACATGAAGCCAAGGTTGGGCCAGCTGGGACCATCCAGCATCACATTCACTTTGTAGCTGTAGCCTGGAAAGACAAATACATCTGGGAATGTGTTTTCTTTCCATCAGCAGCATAAACTGTTAGCACACTGTAGATGGTTAGCTTGTGGCTAAATATAACATTGACACATAGATGCAAATGTTCTTTAGTTGTTGTTTTTCATGCCTGCCCCAAGACTCTGTCAAATTGTACCACTGCCAAATTGTACCCCTTACTTTGACATTTTTAAACAACTCCAGTACATGAAAGCCAACGTTGGGGTCTGTGAAATGACTCGATGTGACATGATTCGATCACTAAATAGACCCCAGATGGCAGAACCGAAGCACAGA